TTTCCCTACTGGACTGTCTTAGAACCTTTGTCAAGAATCAATAGACAGTATATGTGTGGGTCTATTTCTGGACTCTGTTCTGTTCCTTTGATCTATATGTCTATTTGTATGCCAGTACCACACCCTCTTAAATACTGTGGCATTATAGTAAAACTTGAAGTCAAATAGTGTAAATCCTCCAACTTTGTTCTTCTTATTCAAAGTTGTTTCAGCTACTCTATGCCCTTTACATTTTCATATACAGTCGATTCTCATTATCTGCAGTAGTTGTGTTCTATAATGTTGCCATGAACACTGAACTAGAGAATATTGAACCATTGGGTTTCTGGTCACAATATTTTCATCAACTGATTACTGCATAACTTTGTTTTATGTGTGTCTCTTTTTAAAGACATCTTATTTAATATACAATGTTGATACATTATCATTAAATTCATAGCCAACAGCACCATAACTCATGCTTGAAAGCTGTTTATCTAACACATGTATTTTCACCATAAGGCACATCACAGCCTTCCTGCCGTTAGGAACACCAGACAATACTTCAGCACTTGTGAGCCACTTTAAACAGCAAAATCACCAAAAAGCACAAAAATGTGAAAACATGGCACTAAACGGTCCACAAAAAGGACACTTGTTTACAGTAAGAGAACTGAAACAAGAAGGCAGAGAAGTGCCTTGTTCAATCTCAGCTGGGAACATGCATGTCCACTGAGTGACTCAAAATTTTCACTGCTCTGTGCCTGTCCATCAATGACTGCATGACAAGTATTAATTTTAGGGTTACAAATGAATTTTAGTGAGCAGATGGATCCACAAATACAGACTCCATGAATAATGAAGATCAACTGCAAATTTTAGCATCAACTTGTCAATTTCTACAAAAAACTCTGTTGGGATTTTTATTGGGCCTTTGCCAGGAAGACCCACATGCAAATAATTGGAGTTCAAAACACCAGAGCAACTGAGCCAAAATGTTTGAGAGCAGTAAAAAGAGCAGAATATGTTTTACCTATTTGATGAAAAATATGTTTTTTTTTAAAAGAAGAAAATCAGAAAACATACAGATTTTTCATAGTTCGGATTTTCACACTGTGGAAAAAGCATGAATAAAATGTCTTTGCTTACTTTCTGTATTATAGTTAATCATTCAGAGCATCAGCTCATTAATGTGGAGGATTAAATAAAAACGTATATAGAAAATTCTTCCTCAAATTATAATTCACTATTCTTTATTAAAAGGTACTTACTTTGATGGAAGCAACTTTCCCTGAGTTGGAACCTGTGTTTTACTGCAACCAGTGTTGAAAAGGAAATACTTACTCTCTGTAACATCATTATTAAGTTATTCTTTTCTTTCACAAAATGATCTTGTTCTCTCTGAGCCTGCTGGACAATGTGATTAGCTTGCTTTTTCAATGCAGAAATTTTTTCCTGGAGGAAAAAAAAAAAATGACCATAGAGATGTACATTAGACATTCAAGGGTTTTCCAGTCTGCCCTGGGAAAGGGAGAAAAAGTGTTATAACCTGAAGCACAGTGACCACATTTCATTGATGGTAGGTAGGCAATGATTATTACCCAGAGACGATGAGCAGTTTCTTTCAACTGACAAGCTCAAGGCTTTTCTTTACCTAAGGCCAAGTGATTCAAAATCTATTTCAAGAACCTGGAAGTCAACAGGAAATCTTGTGTTAGAATATAAATGAATTTTTGGCATCATTTTGGGAGATGCCTCATGAGAAAAAACAATGGAATTTCTTATTTAAACAGAAAGCTTAAGAAGTCACCTTCTCCATCATCCTCTCCCTCAACTTTATCAGTTTAGTACAGAGTACCGGGGTGCGATTCTAAATTCTGGAACAAGAGTTGAATTCTGGACTGGACATCCGGGTACTCAGGGCTGGATGGAGGCGGTCATCTGCATAGCATTCCACGAGGCTGCTTCTAGTAGTAGTAAACTATCAGCCATCTTTGAGAACTACTGGGCAATGGGAACAGAGGAATTCTAAAAGAGACTGTTCGCAGAATTATTCTAAATCCAGTTACTATGATTGCAAAAGCAAGTAATTTAAAACAAATATCTAGATTTCTGATTTTCTCTACCTTGGTTTTCACATTTATATTCATAAATGCATCTACAGCATCAAGCAACAATGAGTATAACAAGTCTCAGTTTATCTAGTTGGGAGCACCATTTGGCATGTAAATGGCAGGCTCCATAATCTGCCAAATGTGACACGTGGTTAAACACACAAAGATATTCAGATATAACAGATATACAGACATGGACACACGCTATAGCTATGTTAATAATCATTATTGTCACATAGCAAGGGGTATACTTTGACTTTTCACATTGAACAACACCTGGCAAAAGTACCTTTCTAGTAACAATGTTCCGTTGATATTCAGCCACTTCACGCAGGAGCTGCTGGGTCAGGTTCTCCTTTTCCTCATCTAGACGGCTCTCATGCTCAAGCTGCTGGAATTCCAGGTCTTCAAAGTGTTTGCTTTCCACATCCAACAGATCAGCATCCTTTGGAGAAACGGGAATGAAAACAAGACACACCAGAATAGCTGCAGCATTCTTAATGTGAAGAAAAAATTATTAAAAGCAAAAAGACCAAAATATCTTTCCAGTTACAACACTGACCAGGGTTAGAACATGATAATCCTCTCTCTGGAGTTAAACCACAGAGCAGTGACTTTAGGATGAAATTGAAAGGGACTGGGGTAGGGGTGGGAGGGCAGCATCTATTTCACCACTGGTTTTAGACTGCTCTGTGGTTGTAGGAATTCTTGCTTTAAATCTACCAGGTGGCTTTAAAATGGATCATGAAATATAAAAAGAATTCAATAAATAACCTAAACATTATCTGCAGACCAAAGGTGTGACATAATCTCTTGAGAAGAATTCCTGTTTTCCACAAATTTTCAAATGAAATGAGACTTTAGTATAAAGATTAAATTCAATATTCCAAAGTTGTTGACTATAAAAAAAAAAGATTCAAAAGTTGGCATACATGGGCTTCCCTGGTGGCGCAGTGGTTGAGAGTCCGCCTGCCGATGCAGGGGACACAGGTTCGTGCCC